AGTACGACCGTAACACTTCCATCACGCTAGTACGACCGTAACACTTCCATCACGCTAGCACGTCTGTAACACTTCCACCACGCTAGCACGTCTGTAACACTCCCACCACGCTAGTACAACCCTAACACTTACATCACGCTAGCACGACCGTAATACTTCACTCATGTGTTTATATTAGAGTATCTTTAATACATACTTGTCGGTGTACGGGTGGTCGATTGGGGCTTTCATCGCAGGGTTCATACTCTTCAAGGAGAATAATGTCTTGCAAACGAGAGAACTATGACGTGTACCGAGTAATTACCATAATAGACTTAATAACCATTTCCCTCGATGTTATGAATAATATGGATAAATGCACCGGCGCGGACAGTCAAAGCAGACATGTTGAAGTATGGTGATTCTGTACGTTTGTCTGTACGCTATGTCTGAATATCATTTGAAGCATCACTACTCTACCGTGCCGAAATTTTAAATTAGTTTTGTTTAATAATGCCATATAAGCATAATTCGTCGTGTAATGCTTCGTTCGTCTAGTCTACATCTTCTGATTCTCAACAAGCTTGCGTGAAATTTTATTTACCAACTTTCTATCGGTCTGACAAGAGCTAATGCATTTTGAGTATTTCTCGAGCCTTCATAATGCAATACAAATCACGGAAAAATTATGTTATACAAAAGATTTTATTTACAAAATATTTTCAAGCCAACAGTATGAGATTACAAATATTTACATTTGTGGTATTGATCTTTAAACTCAAATACAGATACTCCACAGTATTCAGACACATACTAGCCTTAAGTTGAAACATATGTCACTGTTTTTACGACGATTCAATACAATCATAACAAGCTATCGGAGTTAAGAATTATTTATCGATTATGCAGAAATGAGATACGCGGTTGAGGATATTGTTAATCGAAGGCAATTTGTCTCCGGCCGTACATCGACTGATAGCGCAATATGGAGACGTCGTGAGTTATGATTTATTGCTCGCAAATTTGTGTTATTTAGAATCGTCATCAGAAGTTAGTTACGCTCGATAACATTCTGGCTACATGCATCGGTCAGACTGAAGCAAATGTCAATCAAAAATTCACAAGCAACGACTGAATACCGAGCATCTTCCTAACGAGAGTCATGTAAAAGAAAAGCCACAATAGATGTCTTAGCATTTCGTCGTATTTTCGAACGTTGAACCGTAGCTTGTCTACGAGCGTTAACAGATTGTTTATGTACGTTACCCACAGATGCCTCTATATCTTACGGAATAACTACGTTTCATGTATCAGTTATATATGTATACAAAATACAGGTAAAGCAGCTTTGGCATTATTTCTCTGATATACATTGTTACAAAGATGTGCAGTTTGAAAGTATAAAATACCTATAATCGCTCGTCTGTTATGAAATCACCGCATTAAGATAGGATTCATTAAAGAGCTATACATAGTGCCACTCGGAGACTCAACTAGATGACATTAATGCAGGATACAATTGCCATTTACATACACGATAACTATATACAAAATTTAACTAGACTTGAGTTATTTTCCGTTCAGATTTACAGCGTCGACCCCCCGCACTTTATTCTAAACTAGCTCTATCAAGCGGCGAATACATTTCTTAGTTCTACTGCCGATCGTTACACTGTAGAGAAAAATCGTTCTCTCTGATTTGATTTGACCTGCATGATTTCAATAACGATGCTAGCGTGGTGCCGTGCTTCACATCGATGGGATGCTGCGTTCTCTCCGACCGAACCCGAACATTTGCTGATTTAGACCGCCCACGTCGCTACCGACGCAATCGTCTTCCAATACAACCGATAATTCGCAATGCTTCGCGTTCAGAAATTCGCATTTTATCTTCAAAAGCAATGCGCCCGTATATGGATGCGCATGCAGTTTAGTAGCGCGATTTTTCAGTTTCTCTAATATATCCCCCACGACCTACTTCACCAATGACTGACACGCACGACAATGTCCCCCACACGACGACACGCGATTCTTAAGCACTCCGACGACAGCTACGGGGTTTGTGGAGGGCTCGGAGACAGCGATACTATACACTCTACCTAGGTCAGCTCATCCCACAGCGACGACAGGAAAACTATGACGGCGCAGCAGAACAGTCTCAGTACGACCGAGCAGCGGTGGGCGAACGATGCCTTATTCCCGACAGTCGCTGGAATAGAATTGACACTTGTCATTGTATGACGCGCAGGACTACATGTCAGTATGATTCATCATCGCTGAGGTTCAGCGGAGAGGTAACGCGGAATGGATCATGTTTTCATCATCTTCACATTATCCGTCTCGTTCATCACGCGACGGTAATTAGTACCACGCGTCAGGTGCGGTACTGCGGGGGGTTATGCCTACGATGACGTATTAGAATTAATGAGCAACGCGGAAAAAAACGGTCACGACATCGTATAAAAGATCCGGGAAAGAACCGGAGAATAAGCTTGTTCGCACACCGATAGCAAGGATGCCGGCCCGAAATTAGTTTGGAGAGTGAGCGTGCTTAGTGTACGTATATAGATAGACGTGCTCGTTGCCCGAGATATGCTAATGCGAGGCAAATTAAACGCGATGAAAAAACATACCTTTATCCTTAGATTCATTGACGTGAATAGGGGTTTTCGTCTGGTCATTTGCTGATGCGTCATCTGTAATGGAATTTAAGCGTAAAACATCACAAACCATTAAAACCAATTTCCCAAATAGATTTTCGAGCTTTATATTGCGCTTCCATCGCTGTTATGGAGACAATAAAATTCTTTATACATCATCCAAACAGTCCAAACGGCACTCAAACCAATCCCAACAGAATTTTTCGTCCTGTGCCTAATTATTATTTACCATCTACGCAAAGCCTCCGCGAGAAGGCAGAAGTGAGAACTAATATAATCACTTGCAGATTCGGTTTGGCTAACACAAGCAACAATCGCAAGCCGAAATCATCCCCCGAGAAGTGTGAATTAAATTTACTGGCGCGAACTAATGACATCGTTGGTATTCGAGGGAGATGCGCGAGTGTCTTCGTGTATCAAGCTGAGCTAATTGAATGGAATGCTTGTGCTTTTCACGGTATTTTTTTTACAGAAATCGCGATGGCTGCGGAAGAATAAGTGCAACATTCTTCGAAATTTTCGACTCGATGGAGACACATCGACTTGCCTCGCTTGATTAACTTTTTCGACGATCGAAACTTAAAGGTGGTTCAACTTATATTGATATATAACGACTAACTTGTCCTCGTGCGAGCGTACTGTATAACTATGTTTTTGTACATTATTCACATCCGATGTAAAGTGCAACACTTAATATGTTATACGTCCATCTACAAGATAATCAAATCTGACGTCAAAGCATTGTATGTTTTTAGGGTACGCTATCATTTTCTCAGTTACCCGAAAAAAAACCAGGAATCTTCAGCTAGTGCGAGATAACAAAAGTGTTCACAACGTATCACAAGGACAGCTGGCTGGCAACGAAATTGTTCATTTACCTTTGGCGGTGCGGCCATCTTGCGAAATCGAAGAAAATAAATCTGTATTTTGCACCATGTCTTCGCTATCAACATCTTCATTATCACCTGTCAAGAAATTTGATATCGTTCGCAAAAGTCAGGTAATAATGCATTGAACGTAAATTAGAGCCGATGTCATTTCATTAACTGGGTTATATCTGCTGTTATTTGGCTATGTATTATAAAGACTACCTCCACCGCCTTCTGCTCATTGCTAATGATTTTGAACGTTATTACTTCTTCTCGACCACGAAGGATTTCTTGCGTACGGTATATGCGTTAGAAAGTAGAACTATGTAGTTGCAAGCGATTTGCCACATATAGTTCTGTTTTCTCTTTTATTTGTATATTAAACCGATATTACAGGACATAATATTCGACTGCTCTTCTTTGCTTGTGGTAATTTAGTGGGCAGACCCTTCATTAAGTAACTTACCCACCATATTCAGTTTAAAAAGTCCTCATGCACGGATTTAACAGCTCAATTGTGTAATATCGATGTACTTGAAGGGTTATATACAGCCAAACTTATATATATATATATATATATATATATATATATATAAGTAATAATATATGCATATGCTATATATCTTCTCTCTCATCTCTCTCTCTCTCCTCTCTCTCTCTCTCTCTCTCTCTTTATATATATATATATATATATATATTATATATATATATATATATATATATATAGAAGACCAATTAAAATTTGTTTTAAACCCATTTGTTGTTTTACAGTGGCTTCTATATATAATTATATAGCGGTAGATTCACATCGTTTCCACATGATTTACATTGTAATGGCTACACATGTAAATGTGTTTTTTACATGATGCATGTGTTACGCAATGTTTAACTTTTGACTTATGAGCAAGAGACTAATTTATGCACCAAAGCTCTTTATACATGCATGTTGCTGGACATCTATATTTGCTTGCAGGCCCGGATCCATGACATTTCGCGTTCAAAGATATCCAACACACGCGTTCCATGAACTATCGCGCCGCACAAAAGAGCTAACTATTGAGCAAACCGCCTGACGACTAACTCGTTCGTTCGTACTAACGACCAGTTCGTTTGCTCAGCAGTTAGCTTTCGTGTGCGGCCGGTATAGTATGGCAGACCTCCCCCTTATTCCAATCTCACCCCTTCTTTATTGCTCATTGTCATGGGCGTGTCGAGCGGGGCGCATTGCGCATGCGCATGGGGAGTGGGCCTGTTATTGCCCGTGCGTAATGTAGAGGGGGACGTTTCCCAATAGGAAAGGTGTCTATACCATAATACATCAGCTTTATAGCACATTTTTTCTGCTAGGAAAAGCACTATTAACGGGTGGCCGATATATCGAAGTGACTCCACACACAGGTTTAACTTCATGTGGGATATCGGGCAATGTAACTGCTTTATAAACAAGCTATTTGCCTATGTCGTAAATTAAAATGCAAATATTATCGTAAAAAAGCATTTGTGTTAACTGTATCAAAATAAACAACGACACCAATTTATAGTAAACAATAGCAACAAACAAATCCTACTACTGATAACAAGTATGATTCTGCTTAGAAATTAAACCTGCATGGGAAAATAAACATAATTCTTATATCGTGTACAGAAGTAAATGCATGTAAAATACAAATAGTTGGGGAAAAACTATCAACTTAAATAAACTTAAACTTAAACAAAATAACAAATTGATATATTCTAACGAATGCAATCAAGTAATTTGTAATAGTATTTAGCAGGAAAATCTAACGATCACAGATTCTAAACAGATTTCTACTTCCGCGAAAATGTTTTCATAATACACGCTAAATCCGCAAAAACCAGCAGCCAACATATTTTCCATCGTCCCAAAATTATATTAAACCTATACTCTCAGCTTCCTACAATGCAGTAATGCCCAAAAGGCCCACCATGGACTTAACACTTGAAAATACAGTGTACTGAACGTTGGCACTTGCCGTAGGCTGTTAACTTTATTGGCGAGAGTGGAATATCGACGGTGATAGTTCTGTGTATTATGCTTGAACGTACCGAGAATTTATATAGGCCTTTAGATGCTAGGTATGGATACTAACGGCACTAATGGTACCGTGATGTGGCATTTCGTATTGCCGACACATGATATGCCGATATGCTATTACAATAACGATGCGAATCCGTAGTCCACATAACACGTTACAGGTGGCATGTGAACGGTGGCAATCATTTTGTTGTGTTAACATAATATGTTGTTCAGTGAACGCTATATATATATAAATATAACGTACATATAATATTACATTGGCGCAAAGACGGCGGACAGGTGCGTGTTGAGACAAACAATAGCTCGATTGGATATGACCGTATTCGATATGTCGTTTAACAATTCTCGTTAGCTGTATCATTTGAAGGGTAAAAATGCCGCCATAAATGTCAACATATTTTATTACAATAGCAAGCAAAACGCAAACGATATCTGTGAGCACGTTTCTTAAAAACGTGTTGAAATCGTGAAGTTTATGTACAAGGTCTGCACGGTGACCGTATATCTCAAAATAATTGTATCAATGTTGTGCCCGTAACACCTGCAGACGTGAATCGCGTTGTCGACATACCTTTCCTGTCCTTATTTCTGTCTTTCCTATGTTCCCGACCCTTGGTGCCACCTGCTTTCGGTGCTGTCGACGGCAATTCTGTCGTTGTAGTCGGAGGCGGAGGCAATACCTCTGTAACGAGATAAACAAGCGTAACATATAACGTAGTTCCAACGCAGTAACACTTCCAGCATTCGGATTAAAACGACCAATTTAGCGGAAGAGCTTTACGCACGATCCTCTCGCCTCCGACAGTAAGTTCATTACGTAATGTTGTACCGCAGTTAATTTAGAAAACGTTTATTGTCAAAATGAATTGCGTAAGCCTTCGTCGCGTGCAGCCGTCGTGCGCAGTACTGTGTATACTCCGTTGAGCCCTTTTCATAGACACGGAAGTTTGCATGAAGACATATCCAACACGCTATACGTTTTGTGTGCTAAAAAGAAGTGCGCTAGCACGTACTTCATCGTGGTGTGCTGAAGGCAGATTACTCCATTTGAACGCACTAAACCAGCCGGGTTCGCCTGCTCGTGTTACGATGATTGCTCGCATTCTCTCGCGGCTAGTGCGTGCAACCACCGCCCAGCTAGCCTTCTGCTAACTTTAATTTTAACAGTGAGGCCCGATAATTGTGGCGAGCAAACGAACGCGCGCCGAGAGTGGGTAGCATCATATAAGCGATGTTAGTGAATTTGAATACGCTTTCGCAAATGTGAAGTGATTTTCAACCCAATGTTATTATATTACAAGTATATCGCAAATTCTTTCGCGAGCGAGATATCAGAAAACTACCCACTCGTCCATCGAGGATGTTGTTCACTGAGCAAACATGATATCTATGCATTTTGTCAAATACTCATTGCGTCGGTCGTTGCGAAGACGGCGTAACTTTTTCATATTTAGATTACGATGTACGATAAAAAAAGACGAGGTTTTTAATCCACGCAGTATTTCTGTATATGCAGTGGATCGTGCAGTAATGCGTTGCTGGGATGACAGCAACAGTAATTGCGAGTACTGCATGTATGAATACTCACTCGCACCAGATCGATTCAAAGTTTCACTCGATATCTTTTACACGCAATAAGGAGAGCATTAAAGCCAGGTATATTTACCCTGTATCGAATCTGACAAACCAGGATATCAACATCAAAAGGATGCCAGTGTTGGTCGCAGTATAACATATCAGTGTAACCTGTGTTACTGCCGCGCTTCAGTTCTCTCTATCGTTGCCAATTATGAAGTTTATATGCCGAGAAAAAAAACCAACTCTGCGAACATGCTGCCAAACGTTTACGCCCAGAACGGAGAAGCATCAAAGTAGACCGCACGACCGGCATGAAAAAATCAATTTAGTTGAACTACGTTTCGCATGGAGACGAGAAAAAAATATGTATAACGCCAAAACCACGGTGTTACAAGGAATTAAAGATTCAGTCTGTAATCGAAAGCAAGCGAAATAATAAATAAAGAAAAAAAACATGAAAAAAGCAAACATTAGGGCACTACTAAGCTAATCCGTATGCAAGCAGGTAGGAAATCAAAAGCATCGACATTCAGGTACAACAATTACGCAGATGGTCATGGGTATGTGCCCATGCGCACAGTGACGCAGAGGAAAAAGATTATTGTCTGTACATGCGTGCGCTCGTGTGCGTCTGTCTAGTTTGTCTGTCTGTTTGTCTGTCTAGGGCCAACGGACGAGAGAAAGAGCAGAGTCGCACCTAAGAGAGACATTTAGATATAAAGAGCGAGAGAGATAGGGAAGTATAACTAAGGAAATAGAAAGCAGACGATCGGGAAGAAAAGAAACAGCACGTGAAAATGAACAAGCATTGAGTGAGAGAAGGATTGAGAGAAATACAAAGCGAGAGAAAATATGAGAGTGCGTGTGTGTGTGTGGGGATGGGGTGGGGGGGGGGGTAATGAACAAAGAAGTAAGCAAGCAGCATGTATCCACTCACTCACGTACGCACTCACGCATGCACGCACGTACGCACGCACGCACGCACTCACTCACGTACGCACGCAAGCTGAATTTATGCTATACACGCACGTGCGTACGCATGTATATATGTAAGCATGCATTGCAGGTACATAACTATATATGTACACATGTATGTATGTATGTATGTATGTATGTATGTATGTATGTATGTATGTATGTATTTATTTATTTATTTATTTATTCATTTATTTATTTAAATACGAAATTTGTTTTAATCGACTATAAAGGGGGCTGCAGCGGCGTCGCAATATTTATGGGTGGCAGCGTTTAAGCTGAGAAGCAAATCTAACGCTGGCATAGGCAGTTGTAAAACCCTCGGTCAGCAGCAGCAACAGTAGTAGTAGTAGTAACGGTAAAAATCTTTAACACTGGTCGCGCGTGAGACGTTAATGCCTAGCACGGAGCAATTGAGGTTTCTCTTCTCTATCTGAACTCGCTGCATGGTCCCATGTTCTGTGCCCATGCTCCTGCCACCACGCGCCATCCTCACCCTCCTCCCTGTACTTACTGCTCTTCTCCCAACCGTCTTTCTATCTGCTCCTCTCTCCCATCCACTGCCACCACCAACCCGCCACCAACCCAGTCTGTTTGCTGCTTCACCGCTACCCTCTCGCCACCCTCCCGCCGCCCGCCCTTTTCATCCTCCCCCGCCTCTACCTCATCATCTTCCTCAGCCTTCGTCCTCCTCATCCTCCCCCGTCTTCACCTCCTCATCCTCGCCAGTCTTCCCCTCCTCATCCTCCTTCGTCTTCCCCTCCTCATCCTCCCCCGTCTTCCTCTCCTCATCCTCCCCCGTCTTCCCCTCCTCATCCTCCCCCGTCTTCCTCTCCTCATCCTCCCTTGTATGTATGTATGTATGTATGTATGTATGTATGTATGTATGTATGTATGTATGTATGTATGTATGTATGTATGCCTGTATTGCAGGTATATACTGCTTATAACTATGTATGTATGCTATATGTATATACCGTCAATGTCAATGCGCGCCTCCACGGAGCCGACAATGTTTGACGCCTTGCACGAGTACTCTCCCGTGTCCTCCTTTCTCACGTTGATGATGAACAGCTCCAGTGTCACCGCTGTGCTGCCTGCGAAGCATTCAACAACATTTTTTGTATAATTATTGTAAATAATTGCGTTTGTGCTGTTTTAACAGCAATCCTTGTGCGTAATTAAATTTCATTGCGGGCCATGCATACTAAAATAGAAATCACATGACTGGAATATGTGTCACGTGACCATTCGTCAGCCATTGTGAAAAACCTTATTCAATTATTTGACACAACCAATATTTCGGTTATCCCTGTTGTTTCCCCCCATCATACTGTATTGTTTGTAATGTTAACACGAGCCGTAAACGGTTATTTATGTTTAATGGTGTTGTTCGATTTTGCAATCATAACGTAGCACACACTACGAAAGTACACAACTACAAAACATCTGCACTTAACACTGTTCTAAAATCGGTTTATTTTCAATGACGGATGCAATTCATACTTGGAATCAAGTCGTACATGTTCCGATATTTTTCTCAAATTGACATCGACTGGCGGCTATATACTATTACTACTGGGTAGAGAACGCCATTACTGTTTCTCATCAGAGATGTAATGCGTATATGCTGAGTAAAAGATCCCGCGATCAAAATGATGTAACTTATAATGACATGTGTGAGATTTTTCGGGAATAGACAGATATAGAAATACAGAGAGAACCGCCAAAAATCACCAGGCGATACAGGACACAGAAGACTGCGCGAGTCTATCGATAAATGCTATTCAAAGTGAGTATAACGCCTGTACGTTTTCCCATCACTTATAAAGGCCCATCCCGTACGGACATAAGAACACTCTTTTAGTGCTTTCAGGCGCTCTGAAGAATAAAATGAGGATATGAACCAGTTGGAACCACTCAACGGCAAATAAACGGCGTCGCTCAGTGATTTCTCGTGTTGCCAGCCTGCCCTGCAGGAAAGCACGTGCGGGAGATGGAACCCCCGACCAGTTGACAAAATGGACATTCCACTGACGGCAAACACTCACAGCACTGAGATTTAGGGAAAGTCAATTTCCCGTGCATGTGTAGATAATGCCTCAGGGTAGCCGGGTTTGACTGTTACAATCGAGCTATTCTTTCATATTGGATGATGGTATCGGGGTATGTTGGCCTGCATGCCTTCATGTATGCATCAGAAATGCATGCATGGTAGGGTAATGTTACGCACACTAGTTAAAATGAAAATAGGCACGCAATCAACTGTTAACAATTCGCCACGGACTACATATATTGAATAGTAAAACAACCAAACTAAACAATGATGTTAGCGTAATATTAAGTTATGTTGGTTATTGTGTTTGAATATTCTGCTTTAACGCCGAAAAGAAAAACCGTGTTCTTACATAGAAATCTAGCAAAGAACGCAACACAACAAGCTACATAATGGCTTAAGGAGAGTGCACACATGGCGTGGCGCCGCACTACTTTTAATTTACTTTTACTTTTACTTTTTACTTTTAAGTCGCATAAAATACTAGAAGTTTCTCGAATATTAAAAGTTAACACAGCTGTGTATACAAGTGGCATACTGCAGTGGAAATGATCATAGAATCGCTGTCATCTCATTACAGACAACCTAAAATCTATAAACAAAAGGACTTTTACGGTGATGCACCCACCTCGGCCATCGCCTTTCAGACGTGCATATACATTGACACAGCGCTGCGATAAGCTATTTACAGGGTAGCTGTACCTGAGCGCGGTCTGATAATTGGCAAGTATCTGTCCGTGATGTCTCCGATGGCGATATTGTCTTTGAACCACTGTCCGTCTGTCACGGCCGGATAGGCCTCAGTGTGACACTTCATCGTCACATTTCTGTCGAGTACAACTCCTTGCAACGGCGACGGCGACGGCATTATTGACGGAGAATCTACGGATAATGGTATAACAAAGGGAATTTTTATATACGCGAGAAAAAAACATGCAACGCGGCAGCAGCGTATACAAACGAAAGCTTCGGCACGGTGCTGATTTAGTGCACACATAATTAGGGCGTGCTGATTATACGCGCATCGTTTTTCTTCACAAAAAAAAGATCCGCCGGCTCACAATAGCCATACGGAATATCTGAAGCAGACGCGCGCCTTTCACGCAAAACAGGCCACATCGCATGCGCGCGCATACGCACTTACGTTACAAGTCACATATGAACGACTAAATTAAAACTGGCAATCGATGAGCGACGGAGAACACGACGACGCCAACGTTGAGTGATAAAGAAGCCGTGTCTTTATGCAGCCTCTCCCCTTAAGAATCTCGCGACCTCCTCCCCGCGCGCGCACACAAGATCACCTTTTTTATGAAACGGATATCCCCGTGTCGCTGCTTGAAAAAGACGACGGGCGCTCGCGTGTGCGCGCGGCGAAAAGACTTCATTAAGCACATATGCACGATTTCTCTCTTACATCTCGAAGCTTCTTACATTGAACTCTGAGCATGATGCTGCGACTGCGTGGAGGAGGAACGCGGTTCGAAGCGATGCAATTGTAGCTGCCGGCGTCCATGCGCTGTACGTTGTAGAGCTCGATTCGCTTGCCGCCGGCCGAGACAGCTGCGTGGTTGTTGTGAGGCGAGAGAAAGAGAAAAGAAAAGTAGCAGTTGTCGTTACACGCGCGGGATCTAATAGTTACTCTTTTTCGCGCAGATGAAGTGCGAAGTCTCGTTAATTGGGCGCTAAGAAACAATTAACCAGCAGGTCAAACTTCAAGGTCACATTAACGCGCGAATTGCTTTTTGGCTGTAGCACTCGGGCGTGAGCACTGGCTGGCCGGGGTGGTATGCTGTGTTCGTGTGTACGTGCGTGCGCGCGCGCGCGTGTGTATTGTATTGACCGGCGTTTTTCGACGTTTCAAAATTAAAGCGGCCTAGAGCGTCTTTATTTTATCATGAGCTGGCGGATCGCGTATAAGCTCGCTCTTATCACGCGCAGTCCGTGTACGTGTAGGTGGCATGGCCGCCGCGCTGGCTGCTCTTTTATGACGACTTTCGCGCGCGATATAACCCGCGGGTACTGTTGGTATACATACACGCACACGCGATAACCGCATGGTGGCTACTCCTCCATGTTTTATCGTCGCTGCGCCTATTACGCGCAATCATCGGTCCATCACCGAATGGATGAATTTACCGTAATAATGTTTGTTTGAAGTTATTTTGCCTCATGCGAAGATAAAGTCATCCGTATAACATTACACCGGCTATTACATGAGGCTGTGCGCAAGCACGGTCTGCCATTACCGCGCTGCCCAATTTACTTCAGTCTCGAGCCAGGCTGATTGTATAGTGTACTCGCTTCTGCGGGCAGTAAATTGCGCACAGCTATACGCACAGAAATACAATTACTGTAATTCTGCTTATGTTTAAAGCGAATGCGGTGACTGAATGTATTCGAAGATTACGCATCGACTGCCCATACACCGGGCGACGAGAGAGAGCAGAGCAACATGGCCGAGTTCTAGCGACTTTGTAAAGAATAAAAGGAATTGAATAATTTTTCCCACAGTCTAATATTGATGACGTCCGTCAGTGAGTCATTGCGACGAGCGCGTGCGTGCGTAACTAACAATGCCTAATTCATCGTAACGTATTATATGGAACACGATTCCGCTTCCTCTCATTTTCAATAGTTCGCATTTAACTGGGTATAGTCAGCCGCCATTGTGACTTCTGGTGCGCGGAAAGCTTTTCAGCAACACGCCTACATACTATATAGTATTCCACGTATAAAGCGTGTTCTTTCCGCAGGGTCGATGTAGTTAGTAATAGCATACAGAACTGTATAAGATCAGATCGATCCATCTCAGAAAATCGACTACATATAAAATGCCTGTCAGATTTAACTACAAGATCGACTGTATATGCCAAAGGTAGCGTTTTAGGTGCGAACCGAAATGGCGTTAAATATTTAAATCTGAATGGCCGTTGGCAGTTAGATTGTTGGATATATCATTCCCCGATAAAGATGGACAAACGTGAACATGCATTTTATCACTGCTTTCGTGAATGAAGAGGTTGTGAAATTAATGAATGTGAGCGAGATTATTAAAACGTTTGATCGTTTGCATGGTTTGATCGTAGATTTAATCGTTTGCATGGCGTCAACCTCTACCTAGCTCAATTGCTATGACGTCTAGCGTAAGCTATGTATCATGTAAAGTGGCACGTACGTGCTGCTTTTCATTAAGAATTTCTCTATAAAAATTCCGCTATCAAGTACTCCCACTCGCGTAGTAAGCAGACAAAAGGTGGTCTGAGAAGAAACCGTCAGTTTCGCTATTGCCGACAAGAAAACAAAACACTCGAGATATGCCACAGTATATATAGGTTGAGTAGGCGGTATAGTGGATAGCGAGACACGAAAATCGTTTTAGTACGAGCATGTTATATAGACGGAAACCAGGAATATTGCGTTAAGGAAAATGCCTTATTATAGCGGTGGAATTGTGATAATAGTCCTTGTTCATGTTCGCGAACTGCTAACGCTATCCGTCGGTTGTGATAACTCACCTGGTCTGGCCAAACTCAGTTTCTTGTCATCGTCCCTGCGCCATGTGATATTCGGGGTAGGCAAACCTCGTGCCTCGCATTCCATCGTCACGTTTGCTCCTTCCATCACCTCAATCTCGGACTGCGTATTCTCAGACGAAATAAAATGTGGCGGAACTGCAAAAAAAAACACGCGGCAGCGCGACATTTTTACGGGCATTCGTACTATTCGTAAATTCTTGCATTTTATGTAGGCCTGGTAATGTGGCATCCCATCTTTTGTATAGCGCTGCTCGCGCGTGGCTGGACAGTATAACAGCATTCGAAATAAATAATCGAACATTCGAATCGAGCTATAAACGCGATGTGGAGCGATGGCGCGGTTACGTTTCAAATAATAGGGTTAATGTGTTTTCTCGTTCTTGTGATGTTGGAAACTGTAAATATGGTTGCATTATAGCCGACAAACAGCTTTAATGCCCTTTGTACCGTTACACGCGCACAATTTATTGTGACTGTGCCGACACTGTACGCAATGTTTTCTGTATTGTAGCATATAGAAGATTTATATTACGTTAACTGCAAAACATATATTAGACACAATGCTCGCTTTCCCGTTTAATACGGAGTTAATAGTCAGAAGCCGATCAATTTGCGTCAATAAAATTGTGAGAACTTAATTGAAGAATAATACGCTGCGGTGTAAATTATAGAGGGGTAAGAGTATGGATAGAATGAGCGCCACACCATCTTTCTATCATAATTGCAATCTTTATCTGCGCAAGTTACAATTACGTGCACGATTTATATCAAGAATGTGAGATCTCCGTCACGAATCGCTATGCCCTGCATCGTATGATGAATATACGTTAAGTCAATTATGTGGAATGCATCGCACGATACCATTTACATAATAGTGTGGTTCGGTTTAATAGAACTATAGAGCAACGATACAGCGTAAGCACTTCTAAGCCTACAGGATCCTATATGCACCGAGAAACTGCAAGAAGCCGCGAGAGGCATGCTTGATCAAGTACGCAGATCGTCCGTTTTAAGCTAGTACTTATGCATTTTCTGGAAGAAAAATTATCGCGTATACAACTGCGTGTTTTAATAATGGGACGGAGGTAATCAATTGTTATAAGCGTTGCTTCAGAAGCCAAGATCTCGATTAAGATGCAGCGCACATTATTAATATGTTTCGAGAGATCAGAAGCGTGTTTCTTAATGCCTTTCTCTCGGTTCGCACACGCCCCACTGCCAGCTCGATCGTTAGCACACTCGTCATTCGCTTTTCACACGAAACACTAAAAATATTCGCGAGCAATGTTGCATAGCAATGCTGTGAATGTCAAATAACCTCGAGGGCCCAGACACGGCGCACATCAAAGACAGATTTTGCAGGTGTACAGCGTATCTACCCCGTGTGCATTGCTCACACGTAACAATATTATAGACCAGTGCAGCTTCATATATATATATAAACTCATAATATATTATATATTTATATAGTAATTATATATATATTATATATATAGCTTCCTCTGTTGAATGTAGCTGCATTCCACAATGATGGCATCTATGCAGGCAACGTAACAGTTTGTAAATTTTTAATTTTAAAATTAACTCACTCATTCGTGATGATTCATGTTTAAGATTTAGGTAGCCACGTTTTATGTAACGGGATCTACATGTTATAGTACCATAAAATTGTATTTTATCTCGCAATGCGACGGTTTGATGTTTCGTCCCTATTGTTTTAGTTGCAGAACATATAGGCAAATATGAGGGAGATCCTCAATATCTAACTATATGAGAGTGAACGAGCGCCGTCCGGGGCTGCCATCGAATGATCCATGCGTGCGCTTTAGAGCTACCATCTCCGTCACTGCCGCACGGCACGCCATCGCATAGACGCACGCACGCACGCCGCACAGACAGCACGCCCACGCACGCACACGCCGCACGCACGCCGCATGACGCACAACACGCACGCACGCACCACGCACGCACGCACGCACGCACGCAGGCACGAGTCACGCACAGACGCACGCCGCACCACAACGCATTGCACGCACAGGCGCACGCACGCCGAGCAGACGCAGCGCACCGATTTAAGTGCGCGCTTCGGTGCGTCTGACATGCGCCGCGTACACCCGTTACATCGCACGTGCACCCACACGCCGCCACCATACTTGACGCGCGGGCACACGACGCACGCACGCGCACTGTCACTGCGCGAACGTGTGCTCAGCATGCGGCAGCGCACGCTATCTACGATGCGCTGAACACGCACACACGCTCCAGCCTCCAGCCTCCTCCATGTCGGACGAGATGGATGCAGAAATGTGGATCGACCTTGCATTCATTCACATGCGCCTAGATATAGGTAGCGTTCAATTTTATACTCGCTTCGTGGCAAACCAATCGAGAGTATGTGTTTTTATTGCGCTTATCTAGCAGGAAGGCTTAGAGCGTTGGAAGCGTCGTCTGTAGATATTCAGGAAAGGGACATGACTAAGCTTTTATTATGAGTCGCTTAGTTTATAACTGAAGCTCTAAAAATGGCGCTTTTGTGGCCTCCTGCATATTCAAGAACTTGTCTGACTTACGAGTTCATGGGTGCGCGGATATATTTTTTGTCTGGAGTTATATGTGTTTTTCTGCATGATGGCAGCGTTGGCCAGCCGCGAAAGAACGATATTGTACTCACGAATTCTATTCTACAGAGTCAGTTTGCTTTTTTCTCGTGTTGTTGTCTCGGTCTCTGTCCATTATGCGTGGTTAAGCTTGATTGCCTGTTGATGCCGCTGAGCACTAAGTAGGGAATCCATGCTTGTCTCGATGTTTGCTCAGCTTCTCTGAATGGCCGCATTACGCTTGTGTCCGGCTAGGCTGACATCGTTGTTTGATGATTAAATAGTATTACTTGCCTGACGAAGTGAACTGTTGCACACACTGTACTGGGCATCTGTCACCGGCGACAAGCTGTGTGCAGTCGTCGTGGGATCGGTGCAACAGAACTTTCCGTTAATATCAAGCTGTGGGTAGACTGTGAGCTTGCTCGTCCGGTGTGGTGTATATCAGGGCGGTGGCATAGAAGTGGCAACGTGCGGCGTGTGGTATGTAGGCTCACTGACTATGTCAGATGTATGTATGTATGTATCGTATTTATGTATGTATTATGTACTGCTCATTATTTGTATGTATGTAATGAATGTATTGTAGTGTATGTCTGTTATGTAACCCCTTGTATGTTGTGTATGTATGATGCTATGTTAATGTACTAGTATCGTATGTATGTATTTATGTAATGTATAGATATGTATGTATGTATGTATGATAGTGGGTTATGGCTAAATGTAGTTTGTATGTAGTATTGTAGTAATGTATGTATGTATGTATGTATGTAAGTATGTATGTATGTATGTATGTTATGTATAGTATGTTTGTATGTATGTATGGTATTGTAGTAATGTATGTATTGTATATATTAATGTATGTATGTACTGTATGTATGTATCTATGTATGTATTGCATATGCTATGGTATGTATGTATTGTATGTATGTATGCTATGTTATTCTATGTGCTGTATTGTTTGGTATGTATGCAAGCATGTATGTAGTGTAGTGTGATGTATGTTATTATCTATTGTACTGTCATGTAGTGTATGTATGTATGTATGTATGTATGTTAATGTATGTATGTATGTATGTATGGTATGGCTGCATGCATGCAGCATGGCTATGCATGTTGTATTGTATGTATGTATGATTGTATGTATGTATGTATGGTATGTATGTATGTATGTTGTATGTATGTATGTATGTATGTATGTATGTATGTATGTATGTATGTAGTATGTAGTGTATTATGTATGTATGTAGTATGTATGTATGTAGTTGTCATGTATGTATGTATCTGTATGTATGTATGGGTATGTATTATATGTATGTAATTATGGATGTATGGTGATTTATGTGATTATGTTGTGATGTATGTATGTATGTTATTATGTATGTATGTATGGGTGTTAGGTATGTATGTATGTATGTATGTATGACTATGTATGTATGTATTGTGATGTGTATGTATGGTATGAATGTAGTGTATGTATGTATGTTAGATTATGTATGGTTATGTATGTATGTATGTTTACGTACGTACGTACGTACGTACGTACGCACGCACGCAGCAGCACTGCCGCACTGCAGCGACGGCCACGGATGCTCGGCACGCCGCCACGCACGCAACTGACGCACGCGACGCAGCAGCGCACGCACGCACACGAACGCACCGCCTCGACGCACGCATGCATGCATGCAGTGCATTGCATGCTGTATGGATGGATGTATTGTATGTATGTTGTGTTTGAAATGATGTGTATGTATGGATGTATGTATGATGTATGTAGTGTATGTATGTATGTATGTTTCTGTATAATAGTGGTGGTGTGGTTGGCGTATGGCGGGTTGCCGTGCAGTGGTGCGTGCGTGCGTGGTGTGTGTGTGTGTGTGTTGTGTACTATAGGTGTGTGTGTGCGTGTTGTGGCGCGCGTGCGTGCGCGTGCGTGATGTGTTCGGTTGTTTGTAGTTGCACTGGATGGTGTGTGCGTCGCGGAGTGTATTGCGTGCTGCGTGTGGCCGCGCTCGCAGTGGGTGTCGTGTATGTATGAGATGCCGTGGTTTGTACAAACGGCAATACACACTTTGCGTTTCAATGGTACCGTTATATCGATTCTATTTGAGCCTGCAAAGCGGCGGATCAAATTTTCGATACGCACCCTACCACCCAAAATAACTGGCACGGGGAGATTATATGTGAGGGAGGAGGCGTACATATCATAATTGCCAACATCGATAGTCGCGCCAGATGATCATTTTTTGAGCTTCTTGCACAGACGCGGCGAGTGTTACACTGGCAGCGCAATATAGTCACGCATGACTTTCGCTCGCGTGCTGCCGAAACTCGCAAAACATGCATATATGGGTAAATATGGCTTCCCTGATTTACGCTCAAATAAATTATATTACGCGAATCCCGTCACTGCCATTTGTGAACTAGGAACAATATATCTGCTCGACGTGGTCCGTGTACTGATCTACGACGGAAATGTAAAAGTGTGCGCTTTTTCTGTGTTGGACCGACGTGTCGACCTTGAAGTTTTATTCCCAA